TTATATAATTAAAATTTATAATAGTTAAATATTTTTAAGTATACAAACTATATTTTAATTATTTAATTAAAATTTATATAAACTATTTAACATATAAATTATATTTTAAATTTATGATAACAATTTATATTATAATATAATATATTTTTTAATTATTAATGTTTTTAAAATAATATTAAAATTTAATTTAAAAATTTAAAAATATTTTTTTATCAATAAATGAAAATGATATATTCTCACTATAAAAAAAGACTAAAATCATATTCTCATTGAAAAATGATCTCAATAAAAATTCGATACAATTATTAAAATTTAAAGTATAAAGTAAATTGGCATAAAGATGTATTATATAAAATACAAGTTTGTAAGTTAAAAATACTTTTAAATTTTACATAATAAATTTTTTTTGGTAAATTGATACAAAGATGTGTTAAAGTATGAGTTTTTACATACAAACTAAAAATACTTTTAAAATTTTATATATATAAAAGATTTTAAGTAAAAAAATTCTCAAAAGTTGAAATTTATGTGTTTACGTGAGTTTATTTTATAAAGAGATTCCATTGCGTGAAAGATGTGTGTTTGAGTGTGTAAGGATACTTTGGAGTTTTGACTTGGTTATCACAAACCACAAACACAAAGAAATGACGTGCAGAAACGAAACAATTAAAAAAGACAAACTCTGGTTTTAAAAATGTAAAGTCGTTACTGGTTTAAACTTTATGAAAATCGATAAAAGGAGATATTATTTTTCTTAAACCTCATTATTTATACTAACTTTACTGGACTTATACTCATAGGATAAGTTTGGGTCTCAATTAACGCTTTTAGACTTTATCATTTGCTGGAATGTATCGAAGGAGTCCTCAATTGTTTCCTCTAATGCCTTTTGAATATACTGGCTCCAGGCGTTTGAGAAAATTTCAAAAATTATTTGAAATTTTAAAGAAAACCCAAATTCATATGTTTTTAAACCCTAAAACCTTTCATCTTCCTCATGCGTTCTAACACCACCTTTTTTAACATTTGTAATTGTTCCATTAATGAATACTATGTTCTTATGTTTTAATCAACATCTCTTTTGCACTATACATTGTATGTCTTATTTTAATTACTTTAAATGATTCCTCTTGTCATTGTGGTTAGTTCTCGGATAAAAACTTAAACTTTGTTTAAACTACTTATTGTCAAAATTTAGTGATCCATCTTGTCATTGTTGACTTAATTCTTGAATATAAAACTTAGATGTTTTCGTAGTCGAAGGAACATTTTCAAGAAGAAAAACTTGCCTTTTTCATTTTTGTCAAGGTGTACCTTTAATCGAAGGGGTTTTCGGGAAGGGAACCTTTTTCATTTTTGTCAAGGTGCACCTTTAACCGAGGGGATCCTAAGCCTAGTTTCATGTTTGTCAAGGTGCATCCTTAATTGAGGGGGTCCTTGGGAAGGAAACCTTTTTTCATTTTCGTCAAGGTGCACCCTTAACTAAGAGGGTCCTCAGAAGGAAAACCTTTCATTTTTGTTAAGGGACACCCTTAATCGAGGGGGTCTTAAGGCGGGGAACCTTTTTTGTTTTTGTCAAGGTGCACCTTTAATCGAGAAGGTTCTCGAGAGGGAAACTTTTTTTGGTTTTTGTCATGGTGCACCCTTAACCGAGGGGTCCTCGATCCTCTTTTGGTTTTTATCAAGGTAAACCCTTAACCAAGGAGGTCCTCGGGAGGGGAACCTTTTTTCATTTTTATCAAGGTGCATCCTTAGCCAAGGGAGTCCTTGAGAGGGAAACTTCGTTTCATTTTTATCAAGGTGCATCCTCAGCCGAGGGGATTGATAGTTTTGCCGAATCACTATAAAAAAATTATTAGATTTTCTCCAAAGATTTGTAATAAAGGGAACAATTGAGGTTATTCTTCTCGAAGACACAAGCCAATTGGATCCAAAATTATCATGCAATTAGAAAATGGAATTTCATGAACAACAAAGATAATTTAGAATATTACAAACACAAACAAAAAAATTCAATCAAAAATTACATTGATTCAAGATTTCAACTATTATAGTAAAATTTTCACGGTTCAAATTATAATCCAAATTCAATCAATCTAAATCAACATGAACATAATCTAAATGTAGATTTAAATTTATATCAATTGAGTTTCATAAAAACATGAAATGCAATCGCGATCTCAAAATTTCCTTGAAATTCAAGATTGGTGAACGGTTAAATTTAGCAATTTAGGTTATTTTACCTCTAAATCTAAATCTAGATATAGATCCAAAATTAATCTTCAAATTTGATCCAAATCCATTAAAAAAAATTTATAATCATGAAGAATGAAAAATAGATTTAGGACGGAAAAGAAGATGAAGATAATTTGTTCGGTAAAAAGATCGGGAACTCGAATTTTACCGTAGTTCTTGAAACCTAGAATCAGATGAACATATTAGCCACACATCTTTATCAAGACGTTGTAATTCCTTTATGTAGAACAATGTAAAGAGAAAATCCCAAGAGAGGGAAGAGAGAATTTAGAGAAA